GCAGCCATCATTGTTGTTTGGGGGGCCCGGGCTGGGGATTCGAACCCGCCACCTTAGGTGTATGTGGCTGGCACCTTAGCTGCTTGAGCCACAGGCGCTGAGCCCATTCCCTGAACTCTTAAATGAATTTAGTTACAATCACATTATTACATGTAATTTTTATATCAAAAGTGTGAGCCTGAGCCAGCTGTGGTGACTCACGCCTATAATCCTAGCACTCTGGGAGGCCAAGGACATAGGCTCAATTGAATTCAGGAGTTCAAGACCAGCATGAGCAAAAGCAAGACTCTTCCCCACTACTGAAAATAGAAAAAATAGCCACATATTGTGGCAGGCACCTAGGTCCCAAGTTCTTGGGAGGCTGAGGCAGGAGGATCACTTGAACTCAGGAGTTTGAGGCACTCTAGCAATGTAATTCTTTTTTTTTTTTTTCTAGACACAGTCTCAGCCCTGGGTAGAGTGCTGTGGTGTCACAGCTCACAGCAACCTCAAACTCTTGGGCTTAAGCAATTCTCTTGCCTCAGCCTCCCAAGTAGTTGGGACTACAGGCACCTGTCACAATGCCTGGCTCTTTTTTTGATTGCAGTTGTCATTGTTGTTTAGGAGGCCTGGGCCAAGTTGGGACCAGCCAGCTTGGGTGTATGTGGCTGGCGCCCTAGCCGCTGACCTACAGACACTGAGCCAGCAGTATAATTCTTGAGTTTGGAGACTACATTTTAAACTTTCCTTGAATGCTCCTTGGAAAAACTCTGGGTTCATACTTATTAAATATTTCCCCACGTCAAAGTCCAAGAATAATCATTTAAAAATACTGTATAAAAGTTTTTATCGGCTCAGCGCCTGTAGCTCAGTGAGTAGGGCTCCGGCCATATACACAGAGGCTAGTGGGTTCCAGCAGGAGAATCGCTTAAGTCCGAGAGTTTGAGGTTGCTTTGAGCTCTGACACCAAAGGTACTCTACCAAGGGTGACACAGTGAGACTCTGTCTCCCCCCCCCAAAAGTTTTTATTTCAGCATGCATTAAAACTCTTACTTAACTAAAATTTCAAATACAAGGTATTCACTTTGAGTATCTCAACCAGATTGTTCTAGTCTAGTCCTTCCTAGAGCGGAGTTGAAAACTCAACTTAGAATTGTCAAAAGAAGAGGCGCCTCCCGCCCACAGAGACTTGTAGCAATGAGTTCTCAAATTTGGTCTACCATTAAATAGCTTCCTTATCCTGACCGCAAAAATGTCAAGTTTTCGCAAAACTTCTGGACACGGTAGTGAAATGATCATTTAACAACACAGTTTGCTGGCAGCGCCTGTGGATAGGGCACCGGCCCCATATACCGAGAGGGTGGCCGGTTCAAACTCGGCCCCGGCCAAACTGCAACAAAAAAGCCGGGCGTTGTGACGGGCACCTGTAGTCCCAGCTACTTGGAGGCTGAGGCAAGAAAATCGCCTAAGCCCGAGAGTTGGAGGTTGCTGTGAGCTGTGATGCTACAGCACTCTACCGAGGGTGATAAAGTGAGACTCTGTCTCTACAAAAAAAAAAAAAAAAAACTTTTAGGCGGCGCCTGTGGCTCAGTGGGTAGGGCGCGCCAGCCCCGTATACCGAGGGTGATGGGTTCGAACTCGACCCCGGTCAGCTAAAACAGCGGTGGCAACTGCAACAAAAATAGCCAGACGTTGTGGCGGGCGCCTGTAGTCCCAGCAACTCGGGAGGCTGAGGCAAGAGAATTACCCTAGCCCAAGAGCTGGAGGTTGCTGTGAGCTGTGACGCCACAGCGCTCTACCGAGGGCGACAAAGTGAGACTCTGTCTCTGAAAAACAAAACAAAACAAAAAACTCACTTTGCTCGTCTGTCAAATAAGGGAGTAGGCCCGCGTTCCCGGGCTCCCCGCCGCTCAGATTCTCACTCCGGCTTCCCATCTCTAGGGTAGGCAGCCAATTGGGCCGTCGGGGTGCCGTGCATCCTGGGAGTTATAGTTTCCGGCTCCCTCCTCCAGACTAGAAGCTCCACTGAGCCGCCGGAGGACGGTTGCTTGGTATTAGCAAGCGGCAAGTATGGCGGCAGCGCGCGTGGACGCGACTTTGCCTCCTAGAGAAGGTAAGGCGACCTTCACCTCTGATATCCAAGGTTCACTCCACCCAGCTGAATTAAATAGTTTCCTGGAGAAGAGTAGACGCTTGGGTTTAGAGGTGCAGTTCTGGACTAGGTCTTTGATGCGGGGCTGTGGGCATCGCGGAGGCGCGCTGCCCTCTGGGAGTTGTAGTTCTCCTGCGCCGCCCGGCTCTCCCGCGTCGTGGCGAGAACCGAGCAGGGAACCACAGCCCCCAGAGGCCTTCGCGCGGCCCGGAGCCCGGGCTCCCGCGCCCCCGCGGGTGTCTAAGCGGTGGGTTTGGGGTTGCTGTGACCTTCTTGGACTTTTACATGAGTTTCAGGTGCCCCTGCGAAATTCCCAAGATCTCCTTCTTTCGCTTTACGTATTTCCCTTTGCCCTTGGTTCCTAGAACATTCAGGAAATCGTCCCTCGGATACCACTCCCGAGATTGGCTTTGACTCCTTGGTTGTTGGTGGTCGTTAGTTGTAATAAAATCTAGGGGGTGACCCAGAACCCACAGTTGTCTACTCCCAGCAGGCAGATGCTGGGATCGGGTTTGGTCGCCGCCCAGCGGAGCGCGCGGTTTGAGTGCTTCTGTGGTCGGGAGGGAGCGATCTGGGGCGCTAGACGCGATCTTTTGTTTTGGTTACGTCTCCGAGTCTTGGCAGCGGCAGCCCTCTGAATCTGGGGTAGGGCCTGGGTTGGGGCGGTCTCCAAGGCTTAGACCAGGGGTTCATTTTCTGGGAGCAGTAGATTCGGGGAGGAGTCGGATGATTTTAAGGTCCGTCGACCTTCTGGAATTGTATACAATTTTCTGGGACAGCGCACAGCTTTCATTGAATTCTCACAGAGGCCCGTGACCCCTCACATGCTAAGAGCCGTTAGACAATGAGAAAATGTTGAAACCTTCTAGAAGAGCAATCTCGCATAATTATTCCCTTAGTAGTCCTAATCTGAGTGAAAATTTGAAATTGGCAGTTTCTCTGGCCCCGCCCCCTTTGTATCCGCTTTTCTTAAGCTCCACCCCTCTAGCCCACCAAAGCAACTTAATCTGTCTGTAACAGCAGTTAACATTTATAGAGCACTTTTTACGAGCTAGACGATAATTCTGAGTGGTTTTCTTACATTCTCATTTTCTCTGTAGACCAACGTTTGTGAACCAGGTATTATTACTATCCTCATTTTAAGAAGTAGAAAAATAAGCCCAAAAGAGATCAATGACATACCTAAATTATGGTAAACTAGCGCAGCCAGGGTTTGAAAGTCTGTTACACTAAATTGCTTTATTGAGTGCCTTGTGCCAGAAACAATTGTTCATAGGATTTCTCTTTTAATCACCACATCAGCCTAGTTGAAATAAGTGTGTTATTTTATTTTATAGACAAATGAACTGAACTGTACTTCAATTTTCAAAATAGCTTGGGTAGTTGAGTACCTTTACTGGTACTAAGGTTGTAAGCAGGTTGAGCTCTTATCAAAAGTTTAGTTCCATTTAAAAAATATTAATCATTACTTAGTCGTAAAATATAGTAAATAATAGTTTATATTTAAATGTGAAGAATTCAAAGTATTATATCATGGAAATTTAAGTAGAATATCATAAGTCTAGTTCTAATTTGATATTTCTAAAGGAAACGTTAATAGTTCAATCTGCTCATCTAGCAATCAGGATTGCTTTAGTTTTAAAATCTTGGTATCTATTATGCTTTACTATTTTTTTACCGTGAAACTTATAGAGATTTTTATGAATATAATTTTATCCCTATGCTCAGCTATTGTACTGTTTTATTTGTGTTGCTAACAAATTTCTATCTCTTTTCAAGGATCAGTAGTCAATTGGTCAGGGCAGGGACTGCAGAAATTAGGTCCAAATTTACCCTGTGAAGCTGATATTCACACTTTGATTCTGGATAAAAATCAGATTATTAAATTGGAAAATCTGGAGAAATGCAAACAATTAATACAGGTGGGTATTGCTATGCTATCTAGGAAATAGTGACATAGGATCAGTTTATTATTAAACAGAAGTATAAAATTCCCCAACATAAAGTCATTCTGCAGGCCTGGAAAGAGTAAATGTGGCCTTAAATTTTTATGTGCCAATTCTTCTAAGGACAAACATAAATGCCACATTTAAAGTAGATTAGAAAAATAAGCATTGTTAAACAAAAGAAAGCATTTTATGTTGGCAAGATATTGTTTTGCTAAGATAACCTTTTACTTCACAATGGATATAAAAAGTTTACTTATTTGTTAATTTAAGAAATGTTTATTGAACCCCTCTTACATGTCTGGCATTGTTTAGGTTTTGGCTGAAACAGTGTAAAGACCTCGTGTGGATCTTACATTTTCAAGGTGTTGCTGTGTTAAAAATGTCTTTAGTGGTTGGAAGAAGACTGATGGCTCAGCTTTATCTGTATTTTCTATTGCTTAGGAACAACAAAAAACAGTCATACTGTAAAATATGTAGACGATATATGTGAACACTACAAAAGGGTTTGTGTATTTGGGAATGTTTGCCTGTCTAAATAAACCTTTTTAATCACTGTAAGTGAAAGTAATATATATATCATATATATATTTATCATATATATATATATGTACACATATATATTTCCTACAAATAATGCTGTTTCCTTTTTACAGTTATCAGTAGCTAATAATCGGCTGGTGCGGATGATGGGTGTGGCCAAACTGACCCTACTCCGTGTACTAAATTTACCTCATAATAGCATTGGTTATGTGGAAGGGCTAAAGGAACTGGTACATTTGGAATGGCTGAATTTGGCAGGAAATAATCTTAAGGTGAATGGTGGTTTTTATTTATTTATTTATTTTAATGATTGTTTTTATTACAAAACTGTAGTATATAAGTAGATAATTTTGGGTAAGTTAATAAGTATCTCTTTGTCTTAAATTTTTGGTATGCTAGGTGAGTGGACCAGATTAAATGCTACTAATAGCTGTCTTTTATTGAGCAATTAATTTGTGCCGGGTACTGTCCTAAACATTTATCTGTATTAATTCCTTCAATCTGGCTTAGCACCCATAGCATTGTGGTTAAGGCGCCAGCCACATACACTGAGGATGGCAGGTTCGAACCTGGCCTGGGCCAGCTAACCAACTGCAACAAAAAAAGTGGCTGGGCGTAGTGGTGGGTGCCTGTAGTGTCCCAGCTACTTTTGGGAGGCTGAGACAAGAGAATTGCTTAAGCCCAAGAGTTTGAGGTTTCTGTGAGCTGTGACGACACAGCACTCTATTAAGGGTGACATAGTGAAACTCTGTCTCAAAAAAAATGCATTCAATCTCATGACAGCTTATCAGGTAGGTACAAGTGCTACACCTATCATATAGATGAGGAAGCACAAGGTATTTTAAGTAACTTGTCCAAGGTCACAGAGCCAGGAAGTTACAGTATCAAGACTTCAATCCAGGCTATTTGGTTTCACTTTAAACTTGTAAACTCTGTTCTATCCATGAAACATACTGTCATATGTCATCTCTAAGGTTCAAGTTGTAAGTATCTGGGATGGTATGAGCCACTTGAAAAGCCCTCCACTCATAGAGTAAGGTGACCAGATTTTAACATTGGTAAAGCAGGACACCATTGACGGAGGGGGGTAGTTCTTAATTAAAAATTTGGTCTATATGGAGCAACAGAAATTTTCGTAGCATGCAAAAATAGTATTGTAATATATTTTTTTAAATTTCAACATAAGTACAATTTACAAATATAATACATGAAAAAAATTATGTATAGTATTATTTTATTCTTTGGCATATTTCTCATTTGAGTGAATTTTTTTGGTAGATTGCTGTTGTTGTTTAAAAGGTCATGAAATTTTTCAGAAGAATTTGTTAAATTATATTTCACACATAAAATGGCTTTCAGTCTCAACACTTAATTGTGATTTTTCTGATGTCCACACTTTATTTACCGTAGAAAAAACACGTTTAGTTGCAGCATTAGCTGGTAAGGACAGCGTGTATCCCACAATTTTTAGTGCATTATTGTATGGAACATGGTTTGTTTCAAAATGATGAAATAGGCTCGGCGCCTGTGGCTCAAGTGGCTAAGGCGCCAGCCATGTACACCCAAGGTGGCAGGTTCAAATCCAGCGGGGCTGCCAAACAACAATGACGGCTGCAAACAAATAAACAAAAAAAATAGCTGGGCCTTGTGACTGGCGCCTGTGGTCCCAGCTACTTGGGAGGCTGAGGCAAGAGACTCGCTTGAGCCCAGGAGTTGGAGGTTGCTATGAGCTGTGATGCCACGGCACTTTACCCAGGGGGACAGCTTGAGGCTCTGTCTCAAAAAAAAAAACTGATGAAATATTTCTAACCATTTGTTCTCTATTATGTTTTTTTTT